TGATTTTTAATTTTTGTTTTTTTGAAACAGAATCTCACTCTGTTATTCTGGGTAAAGTGCCATGGTATCATCATTATAGCTCACAGCAACCTCAAACTCTTGGGCTCAAGTGATCCTCTTGCCTCAGCTTCCCAAGTAGCTGGGACTACAGGCACTCACCACAACACCTAGCTAATTTTTCTATTTTTAGTCAAGGCAGGGTGATCTTGAACTCCTGAGCTCAAGTAATCCACTCATCTCAGCCTTCCAGAATGCTAGGATTATAGGTGTGAGCCATCACATCCAACATGATTTTTAATTTTTATTTAATATTACTTCATGGGAAAAAATATTAAGCTTGGAATTAACTTGAATTGTTAACAAACAAGCTAATATCTTAAATTTAAAGAAAATTACAAAACCAATACAACTGAAATTAATACAAAATTCAGAGTAGCAGCTGTTAACACTGAACTTCCATTTGCAAGGTGGGCATGGCACAGACTGCTGCCCTTCTCCAGAGTTCATTGTGCCTGTAATCACTATCACGTATTACATGAGGCATCAAGTCCTGTCTGTCATTTTTCTTCCATGGAATTTGTATAAAACATTTTACATCTCTTTCTGGCTTATTTGCTTTCTCTTGAAAAGTGTATCATTTATCACTGATGCTTAAAGTAGTTCTACTTGACGCTAATGCAGTTCGTTCGCGTATATTAATTTTTTGTTATATATCTGTTGTTTGCCTGTTTTGTTCATTGGTGCACCCTCTGACCCATGCTCTGAGGATATACCAATGAACAAAACTGGCAACATTCCTGTTGACCTTCTAGTAATGCTAAATAAATAGTCTGAACAATTTTATCTAATGATAAGTACTACTAAGGAAAATAATGCAATAATTGTGGTAGAGAGAGCTAGGACACTGCTTTAGACCTGGTAACTACAGATGTCATCTGAACAAGTACCAGCCCATAGCCTGTATCAACTGCCAGACATGTAAAGGGACAAGCCTGTGAGCTATCTCGCCTCATGCCAAGTGGAACAGAGGCAAGCTATCCCCAAGGAGCTCTGCCTAAATTACAGAATTTTTAGCAAATAAATATTTTTTCAGTCACTAAATTTGAGGCAGTTTGTTATATACTAACAGATAGCTGGAACACTACAAATAACATATGAATAATTCATAAAATATTAAAAATAATAAGGAATAAAGTGAAAATGACCTGAAGTTCCATCATGAAGAGAGGAAGTAGCTTAATTTCACATGTGTGGGTGTCTGTTGTCTGATTTGTTCTGATAGCGTCAAAAATGCTGTGTATGGTCTTTTTATAATTGACTCCTTTCCCCCTCCTCCTTCTTTCCGTTCCCCTTCTTGTCTACCCATCTTCTTCTCTTTTCCCTTTCTCCCCTTCCCCTTCCTATTTTCTATTTTTCTATTTTCTATTTTTCTTCCTTTACATTTTTTCCTTCCAATTTTACCCATTTCAGACCTCCTTTTCTATAATATCTAACATTATCATATGTGAGTAAGTTTTTCTTGCCTTCTCCATGCTCAAACTGTTTTTTATACAAATCAACAAATACACACACAAAAATACACATTTGAAAACTTACTGTTTGTTTAAAAATATTATAAATATATTATAAATGCTTCCTACACTTACTTATACATTGTGGAAATTCCTAAAAGTCAGATAATAATTCTGTAACACATATTTTTAGTGGTTGCATAGTATCCCATTGCATGAATAGTTCATACTTTAGTAAATCATTCTCTTCTTTTGGAGACATTGAGGGTTTTTGGCCAGTATTTAAAATAATGTAGCAGAATTGTATTATCCTTCTTATGAGACAGAATCCTATGAGTGGTATTGTTGAGTTGATGAAAAAATTATATACAGTAGAACCTCCATAGTTGATCACCTCCCTACATTGGTCACTTCCTTAGGTTGACCTAATTTTCATAGACCAGACATGCACCAAATGTTCATATCAATACAGTAGACTCAGTTCCTTATATTGACCACCTTTGTATGTTGGCCAGTTTGTTACAATCCCTTGGGTGGTCAACTTACAGAGCTTCTACTCTATTTAATTATATTTAATTTTGTATGTTAATTTTATATAATTATGTATAAAATATATATATATGTATATATATACTTTTTTTTTTTTTGCAGTTTTGGCCAGGGTCGGGCTCGAACCCACCACCCTCTAGTATATGGGGCCAGCGCCTTACTCCTTGAGCCACAGGCACTTCCCTTAATATGTAATTCTATTTAATTCACATATCTTTTACCTGAGAACCAGTTTCTCAAACCAATGCACATGTGTTGTCTAAATTAAATTTTACTTTAACCCTAGGTTAAGGATTAAAGTAATCTCTTTTGACCTTTTATTGCCTGAATTAGACTGTACTCTCCCTTAGGTTACAGTTAATTTTTTTTCCGTGTGATTAGAGTTTGTTTCCACCTATCTTTTTATATTATACTTTGTTTTCTCTACATTTATTCATCCTTGTTTCATTGGCAACCATTTTATACTCATTATTTTGACAAACATTTTCCTACATTTTCTTCCATTTTGTGTATAGAAATACATAATGTTTGTAGAGTTGAATTTATGTCTTCTGAGTTTTATGTGATATTTAGGCCCTCCATTTAGTAAAATTATAAAACTAAAATTATCTGGTGACCTCTTAAATATAGTGCTTTTTCATAAAAATACTTTAACAATTATTTTTGCTATTTTTGCCATTTTACATTTAAATCATTGATCTATCCAGAATTTTTCTGAGTCTATTGTATGCAGGTATTCAGTTTTTTCCCTGATGTTTCATCATAATCTACTGAATAATATATTTTTCTAACATTGTCACTTTTATTATAGACTATATGCCCTCACATATTTTAGAGTATGTTCTGGACTATCTGTTCTGGTTCATATCTAATTACCTGTTCATGTGTACAAAAAAGTTTTAATTATCACATTATATAACAGATTTTAATATTTTGTAGGGCTAGTCTTGATTGATAACTTTTTTCCAGAACTTTGCTGGCTCTTACTTTTTATTATTTTTATGTGACAATTCAGGATCAGTTTATCTAATCTTTAAGTCATCCTGTTGGCATTTTTGTCATAATCATAAAAAATTTACAAATTAATTTAAAGTTGACATGCATCATTGGTCCTCCAAACAAAGAATAAAATAGAACTTTTATTTGTTTGATTTTTCTTCTGTGACCAACATGAGTGTTTTAAACTTTACTCATAAGACTCTTACATATTGCTTAAATTTATTTTCAGGCTATTATTTCCGTATATTAATTTTATGCTGGGTCTTTGGGGAGTTATTATCTTGAGTTTTTCAAGTAAACAATAAAATCATCTGATAATAATGATACCTTTGCCACCTTCTTTCCAATAGTTATATTTATACTCTTTCTTTATAATATCTCTAGAATATTATCAGTACCAGAGGAGACAGTGGACTACTTTGTTATTCTCCTGAGCTTTCTACAGCCATTCCTAGTGTTCCCCTATTAAGCCAAATATTAGCTATTGAGCTGTTAAGGAAGTATCTTTTTTTTTTTTTTTTTTGAGACAGAGTCTCACTGTGTCACCCTTGGTAGAGTGTCGTGGCGTCACAGCTCACAGCAATGTCAAACTCAAGTGATTCTCTTGC